ACATGTAGCATTCAAGACCATGGACAGGAGTTCTTTTCTATGGCTGTGAATTTCTAGTGAATTTGCAGTGGTTGAAATCTTCCCAAGACAGGGAGCATAGAAGTGTTCCAGCCTGAGGACAACCCCTCTCTCCTGCTTCCTTCCCCAGACCAAAGAAGATGGGGAGAGCACAGGAGACTTCCAGTTGCAAGCAGATCCTCCCCTGCCAACCTTCCCAGGCTGGGGTCACAGGGGAGGCTGCTGCTCAATTTCCTCCTGATCACAGAGGAGTCAAATGTACAGGTGTTTATTCTAGTGAAAGCATTTCATTCTCCTTTTTGTGAGGGAGATCTTTTAAGTCTCAAGGTGAAAGACCTTCCGTCTCTGAGTGCATGTTTCCTCCATGAGAAACTGAACACCTGTATGCTGGTAATTTTTACTGGGAGCATGGCAGTTCTCCTAGTAGAAATGTAACACCTTTTCTATGTGGCCTAAAACAGTTTATATCCCCAATACATGGGATAGACATTGGCCGATTGTGTTTCTTGTTTCTCAGTCCACTTTATTCAATACCTAAACAATGTTATAGTGTAAACTTAATCTCTGAGATTTTTCCATTTTACCATTTTTTCTTTGTCCCAAGTAGTTTCCTCCTTTAAAATTTTTTTTTTGATATGATTCCCTCTAATAAAGGTAACACTAAGCTTATTGTAGCCTCTGATACGTTGAGATGTATCATTTTTTAATCTCAACCAAGAAATACGTAGGTTTCTTCTTATATCAGCTCTTGTTTTTCTGAGACCTAAATTATGAATCACATTTTCTATGTTTTAAGATTATCTTTTTAAAGAAGAATCCATTTTGATACAGACATTTTTCTTCCTACTAAACTTTGTTTTGATTTCACTTTTTCCAAATTCATATTTGGGTAGTTGAAATCACTGTTTAGTAGACTTTGTCACTATCAACTTTTTGCAATCATTATTAATTTTGTGACCTAGAACCCAGTATTTCATTATAATATCTCTATTCTGTTTATATGGACTTATTTTAGTACATAGTAGACTGGATCACTCAATATACTGCTTATTTTATTAGAAATTATCAAATCTTTAGAGCCAAGTTCTATTTTTTTTACCACTATAACAGAGTCAGGAGTTTGGGTATATTTACCATACTTAAAGTTTTTCCCATACCCATTCAGTGTCATCTTGCTGTGTTTTAGAACACGCTTTACATGCAGTGTAAAGCTGGGGACAGAAATTACACAAACTAGTATAAATGATCCAAAACCAGTTTAAATCTGTAACACAACAGAAGTTAAGTGTACATAAACTACTTTTAAAATGGCCAAAAACAGTTTAAGATAGACTTAGGTGGCTATAGTATCAGCTTTAATTGATTTACGTTAAACAGGTTTATTGAACTTCTGTCCCAGACCCCCTCCAGATTCAAGTTAACTCACGGTCCCCCAGCATCCCAGGATGCTTTGCACCCTTCTTTTCCCTTCCAGGGTGGGTGGTCAAGTCTTGGCTGAAGCTGTCTGCTCCAGCTGAGCAGGGAGGCATGCTCTAGTGCCCCTGGCTTCTGGCTTGGGCCACTGCAGGCATGCAGCTGAATTTCTGGAATCGAAAGTGAATGTCTGTTCACTTGTTTACTGGTTCAATCTGCACAGCTTAGACTAACCTGTGAAGATTTAGTCTATTCCGCCTCAGGCTTTTTGACTTTCTGTACTTGCCCTAAATTAGGGATAGACAAAATATGGCCTGTGGGCCGGATCTGGCCCACCAGGTGATTTCATCTGGCCAATGGGCAGGGACCCACCAATTCATTGCATCTGGCCCACCCTGCTGCTGCCCCTGGTTGACTTGGCATAGGGCTGAGCTCTGCCTGTTCCTGCTGGGGCAGTGCATTGTGCTCCTTCCCTTGGCTGCAGAAAGGCCCTGGCCCTGGGTGAGCCTATCACTGCTGCAGCCACCCAGGGAGCTGCTCGATTTCCTCCCCCACAAACCCCACATCCTTCCCCCCACATACACAGCCTCACCCCTACACACACCCACATGCTCCACAAACCCCACCTCCATATACCCCAGACACCCCCCTCCCACACAATATATGAGAGTAAAATTTTATTTTGAGCTCTTGTGCCATCACTTAATATACACTAGGCAAACATGCATAAATCAGGACAAAAAATATTTTTGAAATAAAATGACCATGTGTTACAGTAGATGCTTGATTTTTAGTGTAAGATTTGGGGTTTTTTGGTTCTAAGATGGCAAACCCCCTTTCTTCCTTCCCCCTCTCAAATCAGTACTTCTGAGAGAGCAAGGGGAGGGACTTCTGGTGGCAAAGTTCAGGGGTCAGAGGGCAGGACTTCTGGTCCCAAGATGGTGACCAGGGGTGGGGCATCTGTCAAGGGGCAGAGCTACCTGTGCGGCCCTTGACAGCTTGCCAAAACTCATTAAGTGGTCCTCTAGCCAAAATAATTATCTACTCCTGGTCTAAATGCACTAATGTCCTAGCCTCCTGCCTGTTTCTTCCAAGATTGCTTCTTCCAAGGTTTCCAAGCCTATTAAATATCAGAGTTGATTCACGCCTACTCTGTTTTGAAACATATGTCTGAAAGTATCCTAGAGATGATGATATTTACATGGTTAGTTACTGTTCTGTCATACCCAGGTTTATAGCTATTAAGTGGCTGTGAGCTGACTTGTAAACTAGAGCAGTTTGATGCAATATTGGACACTTTTAAGGAAAATATTCCCAAAAGTGATAAATAGTATTCCACACAATTCTGAGATGCATTTAATTAAAAGTTGTATAACCAAGCTGAAGCCGAATGAGAGGGCTCTCTTTAGCCAAAAAAGTCATTTTTAGAAGTTAGGCTGCTAGTAAATGAAGTGTTTTGTCTGTTTTGCTCTCTTGTGAGAAATAAAATAATTAACATAAAATGTGTTTACCTGACACTTGGATTTTCTTGAGGGGTTTCATAAAAACAAAGTGAAATGTCCTCTCAAGCTATGTAATGTCAGTACACATTAATACTCGGATAAGTTTTCTTCTGACAAAATACAAGGTGCTGTGAGAAAATACAAGGTGCTGAGTAAGTGGTAATGACTCATGTGGCTCCCTTCCTTGTGAGTCAGTACTGAGTCAATGCTCCATTGAGATGATAGAGCCAACTAAGCTGGTAAAAGTACAAGGCTTTCAATGGAGGCTGAAAATCTCATTACTTCATTTGCAATAGGGCTGTGAACCTATTGTTTTGGATAACGCCATTGTCTCTACCACATATTTCTGTAGTTTTGATTCGATGATTCTGTATTTCCTGTCCTCAACAGCAGTGTAATCTTGTGAGCTGTGTTTTGCAGCTGACATATTTTCTGCATCAGGCGACTGTATTTTTAAAGTGGTAAAAAGATTCCTATATACATTGTAAAGCACCTTGATTTTTCCCCTTTCCTGAATATTGTATTGAAAATACAATTGAACCATAGTCCTTCAGTTGAGTGGAAATTTCCTTGACAATTTCTTGAGGGTATTCTAGCTAGGTACAGGCAGTCCTCAATTTACCACATTTCAAGTTGCAACGTTTTGCACTTACGTCGTTTATAAATTGACACTGTTTCAACTTTATGACATCAATTTCAACTTTACAATGCTTGATCCGATGCAGTGCCACGCCAGCGAACAAGTTTGCTGCATCGCTCATCTCCCTGGAGAATATCTGTCCAAAACTTCCTTGGACACTTTCTTTAAGAAAGCAGACAAGACTCCAGAAAAACCTGCAACCAGGACTCCTGAGAAGACTCCAGCCAAGAGCCTTTCAAAAAGTCCAGCAAAGTTGCCTCAAAGAAGTCCTTTCAAATTAATATGATTGCTATTTACAATATAAATACATTACTATATTACTAATTTATTACTCATAAATACATTATCTATATTACTCATTTATAATGGATTGAGTATAAAATTCTGGAGTATTTTTAGTGACAATAGGGTATCGGGCCTTGGTTCAGGAACCAATCCCCCATTTATAACGTGGTTTCTTATGAAAAATTGGTTCTGAGTTGCAACGTTTCGACTTAAGATGCAGTTTTCAGGAACCAATTGTGTCGTAAGTCAGGACTGCCCGTATCTCCAGGGAGAGCAATGGTGGCTATCACATGAAAGGCTTTCAGGGCATGGGATTACAAACCTAGGAAAATGAAAGGTCTTGCAGGGCTAGAGAGATCTCCTTTCCCCTGACAACACTACTCTCTCTCTGCATAAATTCCCATTTATTAGTAGTAATTAGGTTTATATCCTACCCTATCCAGAAAATGTTAGAGCACCCCCTCAGGTGTTGTTCTTTATTAGTGAAGAAAATCAGGATGGGGAAAAGTGAAGTTCTTACAGAAAGGTATTTTTGTATGCATTTGGGGGGAGAATAGGAAAAGGAGGTAGAAGAGGGGATGGCATTCCTAAGATTAGAGGCAAATAATATTCTCCTGAAAGAGTAGCTTTGAGTGAGAGTACCACTCAAATAATAACTACTGTTCACATTTTGTAGTAGTATTTCAGGTATTTAGTTATACAAAACTGGATGAAATCCATGAAAAAATGTCTGCAGCACCTCAGTTCCCTTGAAGGTGAATTTGTAAGCCAACAGTATCCCCAGAACCTGTGACACACAATGGCTTGCTATTAGAACCACATGATTTTTTAAAATCTTCCCTTTTTCAGTGTGCGTCTTAGTGGATTATTCATTGAACAGTGTGCTAGCTTGGATTTAGGCATTTAATGTTAAGTATCTGTTGCTACAAATATATGTTATGAATTTTTAGTACATAGAATAAGATGGCAGTTTCTAATTTACAAGATCTGAAGTTATCCCCATTTTTGTCCTCCACCCACAGAACATCTTTCATTTACTGTCAACCAAAAAATCCAAATAGATCTGAATTGAACTAGCATTTTTGGAAGGCAGGAAGGAATGGCTTAATGAACTAAGCCAGGGGTTTTCAACCTTTTTTTAGCAAGTGTACCCCTTCTGGCGGCAGCCAGAGACAGAGTCAGAGGGAGATGTGCTTGCACGCAGCAGCCGGGGGTGCTTGCATGTGGCAGCTGCTGCCACCACCCACTACCCCAGCGGTGGAGTCTGAGGTAAGGTACTGTACTTGTTTGTTCCATATAACGCAGAAAAGACCGTGTGTGTGTGTGTGTGTGTGTTTCTTATGGTCTCAAAATTAAGATTCCTTTAACTGCCACATGCAATCCCCCTCCCCCCCCAAACCTGCTTGCCCCCCTGGCCTTGCTCCTGGGAGGGGGCATAGAAACAAACTCTACCCCCCTGCTATTGAGATCCTTGCAGCACCCAGTGCACCCCCCTGTCTCCCCCTCCCCTGGCTAAGAGGCAAACGCATAAGGGGAGATGCTGCCACCGTGCCCTGGGGCACGCCCCATCCCTTCCTGCCCCCGTGCACCCCCAAAGACCTTTTTAAGTACCCCTGGGGGTATGTGTACCCCTGGTTGACAAGCCCTGATCTAAGCATCAAGTTCCACACCTTATAGGTAAAATCCTGGCCTTTTTAAGCCAAGGCAGTTCAGATTTTTTTTTCTTTTTATCCAACACCTTCCTCAAGTGAAACCAGAGTACTTTGCTCTTTAACTTGCTTTAATGGCTATATCTTCAAACCTGACTTTTGGCCAAAAATGAGACTCATTTTCCTTCATATTTTATTTACTTAGCCTTCCCTTTTGGGTCGGAGGAGGGGGAGATCTTTTTATCGTGGATCAACCCATTATGGCCTTGGTTACTGCCCCTCCACGTAATGGTACAACAGGTAACAAGTTTCTTCTTCACACTAGACCCTCCTTAGTTCCTCCACCAAACCTGTTCCTAGCTCCTAGAACCTTACCCTGCTCAGAGAAGGCCCTTGTACCTGAGTGGACAGGTTAAAGCCACTCCCTCATGATGCCAGTTAACACTTCTATTGAGATGTGAGGGACAATGACAAGTCTCCCTTTAAATTTGGGGCACAGGAAGTTAGAGACTTGAGCTCCACTAAGATGTCTTCATCAGTAACTGATGCTTGGATCGATCCTGTTTTAAATATAAGCTGAGTTCTAAGAGAAAACCCTTCCTAGGTCTCTTGTTTTGGAAGGGATGACTGGTAAAGAACCTCATCTGTTGGACTGCCATCTTACTTTTTTTTTTAGCCATGTGTCTTGTAGTAATGTGCAGAGGCCTTAAGTGGAGCCTACTGAGCAAATGTAGTAAATCTCAGGCCCTAAATCACACAGATTGTATTTTTAGTATATGGAAAAAATGAAACATCATGCCTTATTCAAAAAGAAGGCTTTGACCCACAGGAAAATTTAAATAAAGCCCCACTGATTCAGCCCAGAGTTGCAGATCACCTTGTGAGGTATGGTTTTCCATCAGCCCTGACTGAGTTGACAGCTAACACAAACAATTAAGATCCTTGTGATATAATATTTTTTTAAGAAATGAAAAGCGAAACTAAATTATTTCATTACATCCAGTTTAACCTTCATCAGCAATAGACATCATTGATTTTCAAACATAAAATGTGAGACCTTTCTGATTTCTTGTAACAAGACAATGCAATTACAGTTGCGTTTTAAATTATTGAAGAAGTTTGCATGTAAATGTTATTATTTGAATTATTATTGTTATTTGATTATTTGAAAGATTAGTGGAAGCAAGATCAGATCTAGATTCATATTTGAGCAAATCCTAAACCACTAATATTCTAAACCTTGTACCTGCTTTTTCAAAAACCAAATCCGAGTGGTCCATTCTGTATAGGTATCATAACCTTCTACAAAGTTTCTTTCAGTATCTACACTTTTTTGCTTTTCTCTTATTAATAATTTAACTCGAGTGAACCAAAACTTGCTGTTGTATGAGAGCATTTTGATGCCCTGTTCCACCACATATAGTTCTGCCTTTCATTGTTTTAATATGGATCTTGAGTTCATCAAATAAAGTAAGAAAAATGTATCTATTTTCAGTCATGAGCATTCTAGGAATAAACAGTAGATGGATACAGTAACCTTGGAAATGCATATTTACCCAGGATAAACCATACGTATACTAGTAACTATGCTTATTTTTTAAACTTATTTGCAAATACTTACTTGATGAGTGCTTCCTGGACGTTTTTCTTGTTAGCTGATCACCCACAATTCTTTTATCTTTCAACACTTTGAAAGTCAACTTTTTTTTTTCTATACTTTATCATGCCTTGCAGGATGCCTCCTAGGGTCGCAGAGCTGGGAGAGAACACATTTAATAGCACTCTGGCTTGGGGGAGGCACTGCCGCTTTTGTTCATTTAGTCAGATGAGCATAAGCATGGCCAGACTACTTGAAGGATGTTGGACAGGATACATTCTCCCACAGGGGTCAGAAGAAGGTACAAATCCTTCCCTGTGGAACTGTTTAAACCTTATAAGTTAACATTTAATTTCTTACCCTCTGAAGCCGGTCTTCTCTTTTACTACACCAAAGCATACTTCTTCTGGGTAGTTTAATTATTGCCTTAACCTTTTTTGTGTTAAAGACTTTAGTGTCCTCTTCAGACAGGATAATTTGCTTGGCTAATTTAATTAATGTTTTTAAACACTGAAGTAGGATTTGCTATTGCAACTCCATTGCTGCCTTTATTAATACCAAGAGGGGTCCCAGTATCATTTGGCATAGGAACAAAGGGGCTTAGTTATGACTTAAATCCTGCAGCAATGGAGTGTGGCTATAATTTCATTGTATTTCATAAGCAGATGTGAGGTTTGTCAGTGTGTGAAAAATGAGAAGCTTCCAAAGAAAATCTTGGCTGCTTCAGGAAAGGCTATTGTTGATTCATTGATAGACTGATGCCAGCGGACATTGCGGAACAGTACAGCTGCTGCTGGCGTTAATGCGGCACTTTTGGGCAAAGCTAATGAGCGTTGCTATGAAAACATACCCCACTCACTTGCTTCTGCCAGGCCTGTGCTGCATGGTGGAAAAATGTCATGGCTGCAGTTAGAGCAGTATTTGGCATGCCCAAGACTTAGCTTGCAAGTGGTGCTGGGCACACCTAGACATGCATCAAAAAGTGGCTACAGAATTTTTTGGTCTTTGGGACATGTACGTGGTTTGGCAGTGAGTGGGTGGGGCATGTTTTCATGGAGGTGTTCCTCAGCACCATCCAACATGAGATGATAGTAAGGCCAACATCTTTTGGAAGAGTTATGAATGAAAACCCTTGGCTTCCATGGTCAGGTGCTTTACATGACACTTTTCCACTTTTAACCCACAGGTTGTAGCCAAATTCAAAATTAGGATGAGATTTTGCTTCTTGAATTCACTCTGAAGTTCCTTTAGTAGAAACAGACTCCTCTTTACCAGCAACACTAGGCAATTTCATTGGGTACACCAGCTGTTGTGTTTAAACTCAGCTATAGCTGCATCTTGCTGATGGCAGAATGAAATTTGGATACACACGTAACAAAGTATTTGGAGATTCTTGGGGTGGGGTGGGGAGGAAGCACTGAAAATGTATGTATTGGAAGATAAGGTTTGGTGTTAGCATTAATCTTGATGGCTATCAACAACAGCTGAAAGAAGATGACTTCTTACTACTCCATCAAAAGGCTTATCTGAAAACTAATGTTAATACTTAGACTATGGCTGCATCCAGACGAGCACAGACATTTGATTCCCTGGGGACAAGTAGCAGTGGCACACTTTGCGCTGCAGCCAATTGTCCCTGGGGAATGCCCATGTCATGCACACTTTGGCATGCAGCAAGTTACCCCAGGGGCAGTAGGGAAGGCTGGGCCCAGCAGCCTTACCTTGGGCCCTGGGGATCTCCGGGGACTGCAGCAGCAGTGATTCTGCCGGGTGGAGCTTGGCTGGCAGCCACAGCATGGCTCTGGATGGCCTGGCTCTGCTTTTCATTGGCATGTGCTGCCCGTGTGTGCTGCTTTGGGTTATTTTTTCTGTGTTTTTTTTTTGAGGTATGGTTTTCCATCAGCCCTGACTGAGTTGACAGCTAACACAAACAATTAAGATCCTTGTGATATAATATTTTTTTAAGAAATGAAAAGCGAAACTAAATTATTTCATTACATCCAGTTTAACCTTCATCAGCAATAGACATCATTGATTTTCAAACATAAAATGTGAGACCTTTCTGATTTCTTGTAACAAGACAATGCAATTACAGTTGCGTTTTAAATTATTGAAGAAGTTTGCATGTAAATGTTATTATTTGAATTATTATTGTTATTTGATTATTTGAAAGATTAGTGGAAGCAAGATCAGATCTAGATTCATATTTGAGCAAATCCTAAACCACTAATATTCTAAACCTTGTACCTGCTTTTTCAAAAACCAAATCCGAGTGGTCCATTCTGTATAGGTATCATAACCTTCTACAAAGTTTCTTTCAGTATCTACACTTTTTTGCTTTTCTCTTATTAATAATTTAACTCGAGTGAACCAAAACTTGCTGTTGTATGAGAGCATTTTGATGCCCTGTTCCACCACATATAGTTCTGCCTTTCATTGTTTTAATATGGATCTTGAGTTCATCAAATAAAGTAAGAAAAATGTATCTATTTTCAGTCATGAGCATTCTAGGAATAAACAGTAGATGGATACAGTAACCTTGGAAATGCATATTTACCCAGGATAAACCATACGTATACTAGTAACTATGCTTATTTTTTAAACTTATTTGCAAATACTTACTTGATGAGTGCTTCCTGGACGTTTTTCTTGTTAGCTGATCACCCACAATTCTTTTATCTTTCAACACTTTGAAAGTCAACTTTTTTTTTTCTATACTTTATCATGCCTTGCAGGATGCCTCCTAGGGTCGCAGAGCTGGGAGAGAACACATTTAATAGCACTCTGGCTTGGGGGAGGCACTGCCGCTTTTGTTCATTTAGTCAGATGAGCATAAGCATGGCCAGACTACTTGAAGGATGTTGGACAGGATACATTCTCCCACAGGGGTCAGAAGAAGGTACAAATCCTTCCCTGTGGAACTGTTTAAACCTTATAAGTTAACATTTAATTTCTTACCCTCTGAAGCCGGTCTTCTCTTTTACTACACCAAAGCATACTTCTTCTGGGTAGTTTAATTATTGCCTTAACCTTTTTTGTGTTAAAGACTTTAGTGTCCTCTTCAGACAGGATAATTTGCTTGGCTAATTTAATTAATGTTTTTAAACACTGAAGTAGGATTTGCTATTGCAACTCCATTGCTGCCTTTATTAATACCAAGAGGGGTCCCAGTATCATTTGGCATAGGAACAAAGGGGCTTAGTTATGACTTAAATCCTGCAGCAATGGAGTGTGGCTATAATTTCATTGTATTTCATAAGCAGATGTGAGGTTTGTCAGTGTGTGAAAAATGAGAAGCTTCCAAAGAAAATCTTGGCTGCTTCAGGAAAGGCTATTGTTGATTCATTGATAGACTGATGCCAGCGGACATTGCGGAACAGTACAGCTGCTGCTGGCGTTAATGCGGCACTTTTGGGCAAAGCTAATGAGCGTTGCTATGAAAACATACCCCACTCACTTGCTTCTGCCAGGCCTGTGCTGCATGGTGGAAAAATGTCATGGCTGCAGTTAGAGCAGTATTTGGCATGCCCAAGACTTAGCTTGCAAGTGGTGCTGGGCACACCTAGACATGCATCAAAAAGTGGCTACAGAATTTTTTGGTCTTTGGGACATGTACGTGGTTTGGCAGTGAGTGGGTGGGGCATGTTTTCATGGAGGTGTTCCTCAGCACCATCCAACATGAGATGATAGTAAGGCCAACATCTTTTGGAAGAGTTATGAATGAAAACCCTTGGCTTCCATGGTCAGGTGCTTTACATGACACTTTTCCACTTTTAACCCACAGGTTGTAGCCAAATTCAAAATTAGGATGAGATTTTGCTTCTTGAATTCACTCTGAAGTTCCTTTAGTAGAAACAGACTCCTCTTTACCAGCAACACTAGGCAATTTCATTGGGTACACCAGCTGTTGTGTTTAAACTCAGCTATAGCTGCATCTTGCTGATGGCAGAATGAAATTTGGATACACACGTAACAAAGTATTTGGAGATTCTTGGGGTGGGGTGGGGAGGAAGCACTGAAAATGTATGTATTGGAAGATAAGGTTTGGTGTTAGCATTAATCTTGATGGCTATCAACAACAGCTGAAAGAAGATGACTTCTTACTACTCCATCAAAAGGCTTATCTGAAAACTAATGTTAATACTTAGACTATGGCTGCATCCAGACGAGCACAGACATTTGATTCCCTGGGGACAAGTAGCAGTGGCACACTTTGCGCTGCAGCCAATTGTCCCTGGGGAATGCCCATGTCATGCACACTTTGGCATGCAGCAAGTTACCCCAGGGGCAGTAGGGAAGGCTGGGCCCAGCAGCCTTACCTTGGGCCCTGGGGATCTCCGGGGACTGCAGCAGCAGTGATTCTGCCGGGTGGAGCTTGGCTGGCAGCCACAGCATGGCTCTGGATGGCCTGGCTCTGCTTTTCATTGGCATGTGCTGCCCGTGTGTGCTGCTTTGGGTTATTTTTTCTGTGTTTTTTTTTTTTTGTTTTTTGTTTGTTTGTTTGTTTTGTTTGTTTGTTTTGTTTTTTTTTGTTTTTTTTGACCCCCTGGATATACAGGGTCAAAAAAACCCATGGAAAATGAATCCGGAGCAGCACATGCATGGGCAGCGCACCTTTGCAGCATGGAGAACACCTGACTGCAGTATGTGGTGCTTCAGGTATGTTTGTGGCACCACATACTGCATGGCTGCACTTGTCTGGATGCGCCGTATATGCTTTTAAAAATCTATCCTCATATTAAACTGCTGATATTTTATTTAACGAAAAATGAAATAAACACAAACATATTGTTATCCATAGAATTGATTCATGAATGAAAAGAATTGGGAGGTGCTCTTGTCAAGTCATATAATATGGAATCAATAATCTCTGAGGTTTCATTACAGTACATTCCATCCCTCTAGTGATGGAATGATGGATGCCTCCTGCCAGAACAAAATTTTGAGAAGATGTGAATCAAGCTCTTCTCTGGAAGTTTTGCAGCTTTAGAAGGGAATAATAAAATATTTTTAATGTTCTTCAGTGTGTGTGCATTTGAATGTGTTGTTATTTGTGGTTGCATGAACATCACTGGCCTTTTTGTTATTCCAGTTAGCGTTTGTTTTGTCCACAGCTTCCATTTTACATTTCTTGTGTCTGCTTTGTTTTGTTAGGTGCTCCAAAGTCATCGGGTTGGAATACCAGCCAAATAATAAGCATTTTACTATAAAAATGTGAACTTAGCCAGTGCTAGAAAGCTGTTTTGAAAAAGCAAAGCATGTCAGGAGGTATATTTGTTGCAGCCCCTCTTCTTCAATGGGAAGGTATGTAATCAAATTCCTGCCCTATAGCGTCTCAATGATGCATTATTTTAATTGAGGGCGGGCAAAAATGTGATAATCTGAAAGGTGCATTTTTCTCCCGCACAGTCTGATAAGGAGTATAATGTATTATGTTTTTTGAAAAAGTAAATGAAATTTCCATAAACGAGTCTCGGTATATTTATTGATGGCAGAACTCCAATCTGCAATAAATCCATGGTGCCTAAATTTTTAGTCGTTGGCAGAAGCTTTTCTAATCTGTATGTAACATCCTGTCTAAGATTTTGGCAGTCAACATAGACAAGTAAAACTAGGCCATAGGAGGAACAAAGCCTTTGGTCTCTCTTTTATTATGAATTATAGTTCTCTTTTTGAAAGGAAGTTGGCAAACTTTTAAAAGAAGTCTAAAACATGTCTAACTAGGTCATGCAAATCCCAGCCCCTTTCCTCCCCCCCTCCATTATATTGTAATTAAAATACAAAACAAAAAACAAACTAATTGTTCATGCAGTGGGAGCTCAGACCTTGCCCAAATGGAAAGCTGAAATAGGTTTATCTTTTTCTGAAATTAAAAACCAATCATAGACTTCAGCAAGGTGCTCTTTATTTTTTAGGAATATCCATAGGCTTTTCTGAGATGAAATACAGTCTCTGATGAAAATGACCCAGAAGTCTAGTTACTTCAGATAGATTTAGCTAAACCTAACCCTTTTCTTTTATAGCCTGTGATGCAATTTGGATTCTTCTCCAGTCTCTTATTATATCCTTGATCTTTTGCTCTACTTCTGAAATATTTGGGTTGTTTTTCTTTTTTTTAACTGCTAAATAAGGAAAGGGTCTGTCCTTTGAAAAAAAAAATTTATGACTGAACTCCTTCTTACTTTGTTCTAAATTGCTTCAAGGCCTATTTTTATTTTCCTAACTTCTGCTTTAGGGACATATGTTGTCTTATGGCTGTTTTCATACATTTCTCTTCAGGAGTAATATTTAGGCTTCATAATCTACAAATTTTCTGGAACTATACAGAAATGATTCAATCTCATAATCTCCATTTTATAAATGAGGAAATTTAGGTATGTTAACTGATGGGAACTGCGGAGTAAATCAGTGGCTGACACAGAAAAGAAAAACTAGTTTCTTGCCTCCTAGTCTAGCACTGTATCCACTGTATCAGGCAACCAGTTTAGAATCGTTGAAGGAATTCTTGTATGTCTATGATTAACTTAGAGTCACTTTTTTAGAAAGTAACAGTTATAATCATATTTTGGAGAATGAAAATCTGTTTTCAATATTGCAAGGAAATATTCCCAGATCATAGCCAAAGACCACTGTTTGTGTGTTTTTTATTTTATTCACTTGTTGCTTAGTAGCCCTTCATGTACTATTTTTCCTCTCAATTCTTCCCTTCTTCCCTATACTTCCAAATAGTCATTTTTCTAATTATTTTAAAATTCTCTCTCTTAGATCAGAAGTGCTGTCAGCCCACAAAACTCTTGAATGGATGGTATACTCTAACCCAGAAGCCATTTTTTGCCAGGGGGGTCCTAGCCAGCAGTATCAGTTTATAAGCACCATAAATTTCACAGTGTCGCCGCCAGCATGGAGGAAATCACACTTTTGTAAGATCCTCACTGAAATGCCCTTTTCCCCACCTGTAGCCAGTCAAATACATTAGTCTAGATTTGTCACCTCAGCTGAGGAATTTGGTCCCAAGAACTTGGCCCCCTGCCTCAGTCATAATTTGGCTGCAGTTCATTGGAATTGAAACTTGAATCTAGGTATTACAGGTTCTCAGTCTTGGACCCAACCCTCTAGATGTAGCGCTGTGTGGGGTTAGGTAAAGCAGAATCTACAATGCTGGTGGCCATCTGGGGGCTTGTCTGTGTAGTAGAACCTACGTTTTTTGCAGGGTTAGTTTCCTATCCCCAGAGCTGTCCCTGGTGGGGGGGGGGCACTAATCGGGGCGACTGCCCCGGGCCCTGTGGACAGTACCATTAGCACGTGCCGAGGGCACCACCACTCCGCACACCACTAGATCTGTGCTCTGGCTGCTTGCCGCAC